TTCGACAAGGCGCAGGGCGCGGTGGCCGACTGGGTGTACCAGGAGCTGCGGGTGCGGCTGGAGGAGCGCCGGGGCCGCCGGGCCCTGCGCCTGTGCCTGGAGGAGCGGGACTGGTTGCCCGGCAGGACGCTCTTCGAGAACCTGTGGGCCGCCGTCTACGGCAGCCGCAAGACGCTGTTCGTGCTGTCCCGCACGGATCGCGTCAGCGGCCTCCTGCGGGCTGGCTTCCTGCTGGCCCAGCAACGCCTGGTGGAAGACCGGGAGGACGTGGTGGTGCTGGTCATGCTGCGCTCTGACCGCCACCGCTCCCGCTATGTGCGGCTGCGCCAGCGCCTCTGCCGGCAGAGCGTCCTCCTCTGGCCCCACCAGCCCAGCGGCCAGGGCAGCTTCTGGGCCCAGCTGGCCGTGGCCCTGACCAGGGACAACCACCACTTCTATAACAAGAACTTCTGCCGAGGCCCTGCCGCCGAACCCTCGTGAGCACGGGGGCGGTGCTTCCGGCACGCAGACACCATCTCCTGGCTCCCCCTTGCCCGTCCCTCTCTCCTTCGGCCCCACAGCCCCGACGCCCCTGACCCTGTGCACCTGGCGCCCAATAAAGGTACCTGGAACTTTGAACTCCCTGAGGGGGGGGGGGGGGAATGAGGCTGCAGGTGGTCTTGGGACCCTCACCAGGGAGAACAGGAGGTCCCTCCCCAGGGTCCCTGGAGCATGGTCCTGGTGTCTCCCAGAGGGCAAGGGTGGCCCCTGCCCTGGCAGCTGTGCTGACCACTGGCCTTGAATGGACAGAGCAGCCCTGCTGCGGTCAGCGGGCTGATGGTGACCTCTGGTGGCCGTGCCTGTGCTGGGCCCAGGCCAGGAAGATGGAAGGAGGGCAGGTGCATGGTGACCCCAGCAGCAGGGGCCCCAGAGCTGCCCATGTGCTAGGGTGAGCTCCCCACCTGCCTTGCTCTGTTCTCACCTGGAGGTGCCTGACCTGTTATCAAAGGAATCTGCTTCCACCCCCGATGCTCAGTGCTGACTGCACAGGGTGGGAGAACAGCGATGCCTGGCTAGGGGCATGTGTGTGTGTGTGATGTGTGATGGATGTGTATCTGGTGTGGGTTTGGAGACACTGCTGGGAGCCCGGGTCTGATGCTTGGAGACAGCCTGTGCAGGGTGTGTGTGTGGGGACACAGCCTTGGCATGGGCCCCTCCATCACCACCACCCCGCCTGCTCACCACTGCCTGAGGACATGCAGCCTGAGGGAGCGGGGCCCTTGGTGTCAGTAGAGCTGAGGCCAGGCTAGTTGGCTCAGACTGGCTCAGGTCAGTCAGCTACCGGGGCCTGCAGGGTGTCGGTGGGCGCTGGCAGCAGACAGGGCAGCCTGACTGAGGGCAGCCCTGGGTGCAGGGTGCTGCCTGTCTTCCAGCTGCAGGGAGTTCCTCTTTGTGACTCAGACAACTGCTGTTAGCTAGCCCGAGAGAGAGAAGGTGGTCTCTGGCCCTCAGAGGTCAGAAGCCCACGTGGGCCGAGGGCTGTCCTGAGGGGGCAGGTCCCGCACCTGAAGCAGCAGATGCTCCGTGGCCTCCCACACGGCCCTGGCTGAGAAAATGGGCTGAATTCACAGCCAGCTGTGCCAGAGCTGCGGTTTCCTGGAGGCCCTGGCGAGGCCCCACTTCCCCCCACCTCCAGGAACGGGAGAGGAAGCAGGGCCCAGCTTGGAACATGCCACTCTGACCAACGGAGAGGAGCATGCCAGCCCACCAGCCACTTCTCGGGGGGTTTCCCAAGTCAGAGATGCTACGTGGGGTGCTGCCCTAACCCTGGTCACGGGCACGAGGGGGCCTGCTGGTGCAGAGGTCCAGTCCAGCTGCTGGCCCAGAAGCCCACGGTCTGCACCCCGCAGCTGCTCGGAGGGGAAGATGTGGCCGTCTGCTCCTGTGGGTGTTCAGCAGCAGTGGGTGACACCGGCCCCGCGAGGTCCCTGGGGCAGCCACACAGCACCGTGGGGTGGCTGAGGTCGGAACCACTGGCTGACAGGTTAACTTGGGTTTTGGGTGGGAAGCTCACTTCCCCAGCAGCCAGACGGCCAGGTCTGACCTGCACATTGGCCCATCGATCAAGTCCAGGTCAGCCCTGGGTCTCTGGGGGCTCGGGGTCCGGGGCTGGGCCCAGCTGGTGCGAGGCGGGGGCCCAGGGCCCATGGTGAATGTTCTGCTGCCCGCTAGGGGTGGGAAATGGGGACCCCCACCCCCCTCACCTGCAGGTTCTGTGGCCCCCCTCCTCGCGCTCCTGCTGTGCCCAGGCTTGAGGATACGGATGGGAAGAGGCTGCTGTGGAGGAACACTGGGAGTGCCGTGCACTCTGCCTGCAGAACGAGGCCGTGTGGTCCGTGTGCCTGTAGGCAAGCACGGCGAGGCGTTCTGAGTCCCAGGGATGTGGTGTCCGGAGGAGGACCTCGGGAGGCATGCGTGCTGGGTAGAGGGAAGGGCGGTGACAAAGAGGAAGGCCCTCGGGGAGGTGGGCTGGCACAATGGGCTCAGACAAGAACTGCCAACAGAGGGTCGGTTCTGAGTCAGAACCAACCACCAACACCTGAGCCACATAGCGGGGGCTGGGGCAGATGCCTGACACCGGCATCCCCCCCAGGGCAGCAGGGGAGGGGCTGAACTCGGTGGTTCTCAAACTTCCTCAGGCCTCGAGCCTTGCGTGCAGCTCCTCATATGGTGGTGACCCCCCAACCATGACATTTCTTTCGTTGCTACTTCAACACTGTCATTTTGCTACTGTGATGAATCGGGCGACCGTGAAAGGGTCGTTCGACCCCCAAAGGGGTTGTGACCCACAGGTTGAGAACCGCTGTGTTAAAGCCTCAGGACTGAGCAGTTCCAGGAGCTGAGTGATGCGGGCGGGGGTGAGGGCGAGTCGGGCAGAAGGAACGAAGCAGATGAGGGTGGTGGGCAGCAAGGGCCAGGGGCGTACACCGAGGGGCTCTTTCCTTCTGAATGGGCGATGAGGCCTGCTGCAGCCCATGGACGGCAGCCAGGGGGGTGGGGGTGAAACTGCAGAGGAGCCGGTAAAGGAACCTGTGAGGGTGTGTGTGTGTGTGTGTGTACAGATGAGGGAGTGGTTGACAAGCACAGATGCCTCCACTTGCCCTGCAGGCTCCGTGGTGGACGGCCCAGACGCTGGCTTTTGCAGGGAGCACCACGTCCGCGGAGGCCCCAGTGAGCAGAGAGTGGGGCAGGGAGCAGCAGTGGCCGCTGGCTGCCTGGTCGGGGAGGGGGGATAAGCTTTGTGGGTAGGAGGGCGGCTTTGGGGTGCTGCAGTGTGCTTCCACACGCCTCACACGTCACATTCAGGGGAGGGCAGCCAGCAACAGAGGGGCCCACCACCGAGGACTTATCTTTAGAACCACGTCTCTTCCTATAGCTCGCGTTCATATAATTTAATTCACATACAAAGACGACTCGGGACGGTGTGGATGGGGCGGGTCGCCGCAGTCACGCTCAGGCCTGGGCGGACACCAGCTTGCTCATGCCCGAGAAGTAGGCCTTCTCCCGTGCGCTCAGCCCCTCCAGGTGCAGCGGCCTCCTGCAGAAGCTGCACTCGGCAGAGGACCGCGGATTCAGCTCCAGCCCCACTCTCGTCCACGTGGCCACCAGGTGCTCTGGGGGGGAACACGGCGGAGTGAGGGGAGTGCAGCCCCCACCCGTGGTTGCAGGCACTAATGACCAGCTGCCCGCACCCCCAACTGACCAACAGGCCACTTGCTCAGCTGCAGGCTCTGCCCACCCCTTGGTCTGCACTGCCGCACGGGTGACCCCAGAAAACTACAGGCGTGGTGGGAGGCACCCAGAGTGGGAAGCCATTTCCATGAAGCCTCAGGATCCATGGAGCTACAACTGGATGGGTGGTTGTGGGGGCCGGGGTGTGACCGCTAACGAGTAGGGGCTTCCCTGTGGAGATGGTGGTGCCCTAGGGACGACAGGGGTGCTGGGGGCCCAGTTCTGAGGTTCTGGAGCAGTGAGGTACGTGAGCTCCACCCTGATAGGGGGCCACTGCTGGCAGTACTCGACAACCTTCAGGAAGAAGCTGCTGTGCACGTTCCTAATGCAGCAGGAGTCTGACCCCTGCTCACCGGCTCGGCTGCCCTGGGTGGGGGTCGGGAGAGGGAGGGTGTGGGGCAGGAGAGAATGCAGGCAGGTGTGAGGCAGGGACACAGTCGGGCAACAGAGGTGAGCACAGGCAGCCCGCAGACGCCTGTCTCTCTGGCAGCCATTACTGAGCACCCACAAGGTACTGCTCGGCGGTGTGGGGTGCTGGGCTGGGAGCACTCCTACCCCAACCCCACCCATCTCAGCCACCCAGCAGGTTTGGCCCCTGTGACAGTGTGCACCGCCCCGCTCCTTTACGTTGGCGGCGGTGGCATTCTTCACTGTGGTAGAAGTTGCGGGTGCATGATTTCAGGGTCTCGGTTACTCAGAGTTTATAGTCAACGCCGTGGTGGCATCCGGGCTCCCCACCCCTCTCGCCCCAGGCAGAGATGCCCAGCTTACTACCCAGTCAGACCCCAGCCCTGTCCTTCCTGGCTTGAGACGGGGCCGGCCGGCCGGCGTGGCACTCACTGAGGAAGTAGCCCATCATCTGGGGCGTGTGGTGGGGGGTGGGGGCGATCCGCAGCAGCTCCTCCCCGCGGGCCACGGTCGGGTAGTTGATGGCCTGCACGTAGATGTGGTGTCGGCTCATCAGCTCATCACAGACCTCGGTGTTCTTGGCAGCGTCTGCGACCTTAGTGATGGGGCAGAGGGGAGGTGAGCCCACAGCGGCGGCGGGGCGGGGCGGGGTGAGGGAAGGAGAGCGCGGCTAGAAGTCGGACCCCAGGGGCCTGCCACCACTCAGCAGGCATCACAGACAAGGAAATGCCGCCTGGGTCCAGCCCCCCCCAGGTCAGGCTCAGGGCACATCGGTCACTCAGGGACACACGGGAGCACCTCTCAGCCTGACACCGCAGGAGGCATCTGCAGCAGCCAGGTCGCGGCCTGTCTGGAAGTTAACACTGCTCGGCTGGCCCCACCCGCAACCCCACTCTCACCGCGGGCACGCCCTGGAGTAGGCCGGGGCGGGGCCTCACCCGGAGGGGGATGATGTGGCTGGGACAGGCCACCACCGGCAGACCGGCGTCCAGGAGCATCTGCCGCAGGAGCTGGACGCTGCGCTGGTGCTGGCGGCGGAGCGCCTGGCCCTCGGCACTCTTCAGGACGCGCACGGACTCCAGGGCCCCGGCCAGCAGCATGGGGGGCAGGGAGGTGGTGAAGATGAACCCGGCAGCGTAGGAGCGCACCGTGTCCACCAGAGCCCGCGTGCTGGCGATGTACCCGCCCACGCAGCCGAAGGCCTTGCCTGCGGGGACGGACAGATGGAGGGAGCGGGGAGGGGTCAGCCAGGGCACAGGGTGCAGGGCCTCTGCCTCTCCCTTCCATCCCTCCCCACAGGCCGAGAGCTGAGATGCCCACCCTCTTGAAGTTTAAGAACAGAAAGCGGAGCGGAGTCCCGAGACGTGCCTGGAGCAACAAGGTCACCTGGTGTCTGCCCGGATGGGGGGGCAAGTCCCCAAGAGCAGGCCGGGCATGGTCACTGAGGGCCGCCAGCCCTCCCGGCTGCTGCTGGGCCAGCCAGCAGGGTCTGTTTCCCCACGGTCCACCCAGGCCCTGCTGGGCCCTGGCCCGGCCTGTGAACCTTACTCCTGAGGCTGGACTGTGAGCCCGGGATGGGGCGTTTATGCCCTGGCATGCCTGACAGTGCGTACTCTCTGGATAAACACAACCTCCCAGGGCAGAGGCCCTGACTCAGCCCCGCGCTCCCCAAGGACTTCTCAGGCGGCGACACCTGTGGAGGCAGACAGCCGTCTCTCTTCCCCGGAGAGCCTCTGCTGGGTTCAAACCACTGACCTCTGGCTAGGGGCCAGGGCCCTTAGACCTGGCAATGAGTGCTTGCCAGGCAGCTAGGGAAGCCCCGAGCCTCCGAGGGCGGAGGGAGCCGGCTCTCTGTTCCGTATGCAGCTGGTCTCAGGTGTCAGGACAAGCCCTGTGGTTCTGTAATTAACATTCCCGCTTGAACTACCGGCAGGGGGGGATGCTGCAACTCCTGCCACCTCGGGACGCCACCTCGGGACGGTCCTGTCCAGCCTCGCCCACCCCAACAGCTGTGGCTTCCAGGAGCCCACATCAGCCGAGACCCCACAGACTCAAGAGACCGCAGGGACCGGGCCGGCAGGGAAGTGGTTTCCTGGGCCGCCACTTGGGCAGTGCCCTGAGAAAGAACCCCGTTCTCACAGTCAGTCGCACGAGGTTCCCAGGCACCTATAGGAAGACCCTCTGGCCTCCTGGCCTCCCTGGAGCTACGGGAGGCTGCCAACTGCAACAGTGCCCGCACAGCGACCTTACTGACTCCCCAAGGGTTTTAAACACCCTCAAAGGTGCCAGGTAGGTTCTTCTTCCTGTTCATGCCTGACCCCTCGGGGTTAGGGTCTGCACAGAACCCCATCTTCCCTGCGGGAATGGAGGCAGGCCCTGTCCTTTCCATTCCGTGGATGAGGAAACGGGGTGCAGAGGCCGGTGCAGGCCACCCACAGCGTCACACGGGGCCAGCCGTCTAGTCCCAGAGTCTGTGAGCCTGGTGTCCCCCCCTGGGACGGACCCCGCCCCGAGCACAGTGCAGCGGGTCAGCATACGCACCGAGGGTCCCAGAAATGATGTCCATCTTTGGCATGACTCCGTCCCGGTCGCCGATCCCCCCGCCTCGAGCCCCGTACAGTCCGACCGCGTGGACCTCGTCCACAAAGGTGATTGCTCCAAATTCATGGGCGATGTCACACAGCTCCTCCAGGGGGCACACCGCACCTGGGGACAGACAGACGGACACACGCTATGCTGGAGAGCCTCCCACCGAGCACACACTGGCCGGGCTGGGCCGGGCCTACATTCTGGGTTTGTCAGTTTTTAACACTGCGAAGAAAAAGGCTGCCCAGTGACGTCGGTGTGACCGCCTGACAGGAACAGCATGGGAAACCCAGAGGGACCGGACGCGAGCGGCGGGGTAGGCTCACCGTCCATGGAGTGCACCGTCTCGAAGGCCACGATCTTGGGCACGGCGGGGTCAGAGCCCTGCAGCAGCTCCCGCAGGTGGCCCGCGTCATTGTGCCGAAAGACGTGCTTGGGCACACGGCTGTTCCGGATGCCCTGGATCATGGAGGCGTGGTTCCCGGCGTCTGAGTAAATTTCACAACCTGCAGCAACAGAGGACACGGCTGATGGCCGGCATGGTCAAGTACCGGGTCCTCCAGACCAGCATTCCCGGGTGCCCAGCCGAGGAGCGGTGGCGCCAGCACCGCAGTTTCCAGGGCTGCGGGCGGGAGGGCACTGCACTTTTTATTTAGTTAGTTTCTCTGGAAAAAGGGGAGGCAGGCTTGTCCGAGCCTGGGAACTTTCACCCTGGAGCTAGCCCACAGGCTTCCTCCCCGTGGGTGGAGCCCAGCCAGCCCAGTGTGGGCACCCCGGGGAGGGGCTCAGCTGTGAAGCTCTCCCAGGCAGCCCCCAAGCCAGCCGAAGGACACACTGGCTGCTCACTGCGCAGCTCGCACGTGGGCCGGCCCAGGAACGGGCCGGTTCGCACAGGACCCACAGGCCCGGCCCCGCACCTGGCATCATTCTGGCCAGGGTGAAGAGCGTTGAGTCGTTGGCCACGAAACAGGAGGTGAACAGGAGGGCAGCGTCCTTGCCATGCAGGTCGGCCAACTCCCGCTCCAAGTCCACGTGGAACCTGCTGGTCCCAGAGATGTTTCGTGTGCCCCCGGCCCCTGCACCGTGCTGCCTCAGGGTGTCCCTGTGGGGGAGGAGCCACATCAGGGGAGAGGAATGCCGTGGGCCCTGGCGCTCTGGGCTGCCCCTGGGTGGGCAGACCGACTCTCTGGCACCCCGTCTCGTGAAGCCAGGAGACTCTAGGGCCAGGAACTGTAACCTGCTTACACCTTCAGACCAGCTCTAGGGAGAAAAAAACTTATCAACCCTACGGGGTCAAGACCAGAGAGCTTGTCAGCCGGCGGCTGCGGAACCCCCGCCTTCCAGTCGGGGTGACTCAGTGTCCCCTGGGGTGTCCGAGACCACTGATGGGAGCAGGAAGCCCGTCTTTCTCCCCAGGAGCTGCTGGTGGTTTCAAACTGCCCACCATGCGCATCTCAGCCCGACACGTCGCCACCAGGGCTCCTCCAACCCGACTGCACCCTGCCATCCAGCCCACCCGATGCACAAACCTCGCAGGGGCTCCCAGATGGAACAGCCCTGCGGGGAGAGGGGCGCCCCTCCCTCCTTGCAGTCCTCACTTGTCCCCCTGGCTGCCGGGGTTCCTTCCCGGCTACAGCGGCATGGCGGGTCTGTCCGAGTGGGGCGGCTCACCTTGCCGTCAGCCATTCGAAACGGCCAATGTCTCCCCGGGAGACAGGTGAGGCTTACTGCTGTCAGGAGCTGCATTCTCAGAGACCCATGGGTGGCAGCTCTGCCTGTCCTGGAGAGTCCTCATCAGTCAGAATCAAGTCCATTGACCAAGCGGCACCCTCTTACTAAAGTGGGACCTTAAGCTCTCTGCAACCTGTTGTGCGCGGCGGAACACGTCCATCACATCCATGTGGGGCGAGCTTCCCAAGTGTCCCTGACGGATGGGCCCTTTCCTGGCACCCCGGGTGGCACTCGGGGCGAACATGCCTGCCCGCGAATGGAAAGACCGAGGTGCCTGGGAAGATGGGCCCAGCAATCCTTCCCGATAGGCAGCCCGGAAGCCCAAGAGATGGGCAGCCCGGAACCCCAAGAGCACAGTGCCCTGCTGGACACAGGTAGGCCACCAGGCAGGACAGCATCCACAGCCGCGTCTGTCCCCCCACTGCCGGAACCAGGGCCGCCTGTTGGCTGGCTTTCCTCCCTCATGGGGCGGGGGAGGTGAACCGGCCAACACGCACCGTCTGTGAACCTTCAACCCAGACACCGAGGGGATGCACCAGCCCCTCGCCCACGAGAACGGGTGGTAGCCAAGTCTACACAGAGCTCCCAACACTAGCACGGCATCGTACCAAAGCCGTCAGAAATGCAGCTGGCACCTCCAACACCCCCACACCTGCCCCTCACGTGGACGCCCAGGTGAGCGCTGTGCAGTGTGAGGACTACGTGGACGGATGTCTGTGGCTGCCGTCTCCCTGGTAACAGGCAGTCGCTCCTGCCCAGGGCCCGGGCGACTTACATGACGGCCCCGCACACGCGGGGGTGGCGGCTCATGCCCAGGTAGTCATTGCTGCACCACACGGACACCTGCTTCTTGGTGACGAGGGAGTCGGAGTGGTCGTCCGCCATGGGGAACGCCTGGGCCTTGCGGTTCACCGTCTTGAACACCCGGTACGTGTGGTCGCTCTTTTTCTCGTCGATCTTCTTCTCAAAGAAGCGGTCGTACTGGAAGGTGGACACAGCTGGAGAGCAGACAGGGGCAGGGCGGCGGGGTCAGGAGCAGGCCTGTGATGCCGACAGGCAGCCTTCAGGGAGTCCCCGCATGGCCGCTCGGGGAGGGAGAGTGTGTTCAGACAGCTGGATGACTGTCCATAACCAGCCAGCGAGGGGGCGGCAGCCCATCGGAGCAGCGTGAGACCGGGGTGCCTAGTGTTTAGCACGGCGCCTGCTTGCAGACGGGCGGCCACAGGGGACCCCCACCCAGCCAGCCAGGACAGGTGTGCGGCCTCTGTCACCATGCAGCCTCTGTAGAGGTTTACCCGCCGTCCCTCGGACTCGGCACAGGTGGAGACAGGACTCACACTTTGGCAAGTTGTCCTGGAGCAGGTGCGACACCCTTTCTGGTCTCTGCTTTCTCATGATGTCCTGGAAGTTCTTCAGCAACTCTCTGGGCTCCTCCCCGCAGGTCTCTGCAGCGACCGCGCCGGGGCTGGCCGTGCCGGGGCTGGCCGTGCCGGGGCTGGCCGTGCCGGGGCTGGCTGAGGTTTGCGCAACCTCTGTAACAAAAGTAACGAGAGGCCCATGGGAGCGACACGCCACAGCCTTTTAAACACCGGAGTAAGCCTACACTAGTTCAGCACCTTGCACACGTGCGGTGCAGCGAGGCCAGGTGGCTCTTCCTGCTGTGGGGTCTCCATCAGCATCTGCCTGAGAACCACCCATAAACTCTGACTGTGGCGGTGGGGGGGGCGGTTTGTCATAAAATACCTGAGGCCCCGCGCCACATTCCAATCTGAGTGTCCCATCCCGCCCAGGGCCCTGCCTGTTCATGGCTTCCTGCCACAACCACACACTGGAGTCAAATTCCCACCCAGGCCAGTGGGGGCACTGGTGCCGGGCAGTGTGGCTGCTCTTCCCTTTTCTGTTTTGGTCTCCCCACTGGCCCGAGTTGTCAGGGCGGGATGGTGGTGGTGGAGGTGTGTGTGTTCACGCACGCCCGCCCTTGTTTGCAGAGGGACCCGCCAGCATTCACGTCAAAAGCTCTCTCGGTGCACCCTCCCCATGTGCCCCTCCTGACATCAACCTCAAACTTCTTGACATAGACCCCGTCCTGGCTGTGGGTACAATTGCTGCTGGGGAGCTCCCTCCCCCGCCCTCCGTTTTCTGGAGCAGGGCTGCTCCGTGGTACATGGCAGGCACAGCCACGTGAGGGTGCCCTGCCTGCAGTCACCCCTGGTTTTGACCTGGGATGTTAGCAGACGGTCCGGCCGCGGGGCCCCTTCAGAAGATAGGGGGTTAGTTTGTACAGCTGCTCGCATCCTACACACTCGCCAGAAAAGAGCCCCATTTCGTAATCTTGTCTCTGCCTGCTGACTGTTTAAAAGAGGAAGGTGCCCACACAAACACTGCCCCCGTGGGCGCCTGGCACACGAAGCCGAGGATCCCAGTGAGTCAAGGCCACGGGCGTCTTCGCGGCCTCACCTTTCCTCAGGGCGCGGACCTCCCGCACGTCCTCCTGCAGCTCCAGGCCGGCTATACGGACGACGCTGCTGCCCCTCTGGCTCATCTGGGCTGCCAGGAAAGGGCACTTGCTGGCAGTGCCCGGGCTGGTGGCGGGGCAGAGGTGGCCTGGCGGAGGCTGTGCCCCATCAGGAGTGGGCGGGGCCTGGGCTTTGGCAGCTTTGTCCTCTGCGGGGGAAGGGAACGGAGGCATGAGAAGTGGCTGTGCAGCAGCGGCACAAGGAAACCACCGGCTTTCCCGTGGCTCCAAAGGGAAACGGCTTACTCCCGATCCCACAGCCCAGACCAGTGCTCGGAGTCTGACCCGGCCAGCTCACCTCGCTGCTTCCTCAGGCCTCGCTCTTGGGACGGGTTCATCTGCACATTCTAGCTCCCACTCAAACACGCAGGATTCCCACTGACTGAGCGGAAATGCCATCATCTCTAGGTTTGGAAATCTGGAGTTCTTATACGGAATCACTTCCAATAAGTTCTACCCTCAGAGGACTCCACCTATTTCAGGAGGACACTTGCTGTCTAATGGCCTGCTGAAACCCACAGCACGCGCACGGCCCTCGCGTCCATTCTGACTTCTAACGATCCAACAGGACAGGGCAGAACTGCCCCTGTGGGCTTCCCAGACTGCAGCTCCTGGCGGGAGGGAAGGCCCCGTTCTCTCCCTGTCAGATTGCCACGGGGCTGAAAGGGCACCGGGATGACATTGCCCAAGGCACTGCCTTCTCGCCTGATCGCACGGGAGAAGCCCACCAGCTTAACTTAGTGAACTGGTAACTAAGCTTCTGGTAACGGTGGCTTCCCTCCCCTGAAGTGACCCCGTTCACGTTCTCCCTGCGCCAATTCTGGGAGACTCCTGGGAGTCACGGGCTAGCCTTTCTTAAACACGGTCTCAGCGGGGTTTTCGTGAAAGTCTTCTCTAAAGGAAAACGAAAGGGTGACTTTGAATCTCGGAGCCCGACTAAGACAAGGCCCTCGCCCCTTATAAACGCCACACAGAACCTGGAGCGTCGGGAACAGCCGTTCTCCACCCGCGGTCGAAACCCCTTTGGGGTCAAACGACCCTCTCACGGGGGTCGCCCGATTCCTAACCGTAGCAAAATGACAGTGCTGAAATAGCAACGAAAATAATGTTATGGTTGGGGGTCAGCACCACACGAGGACCTGTTTGAAAGGGTCTCGTCAGGAGGAAGGCTGAGAACCGCTGCTCTGGAAAGAGAAAGCAGGCACGAGGCCCCGCTGCTCCGAGGGAGCCGAGTCACTTCACTTTCCTTTTCCCGTGGACAGGCCTTTGCCTGCCTTGGTGTGCTTGTGTCATCTGCCCGAGCTGATAAACAAACTCCCGCCACCGAGTGCATGCTGAGTCACAGGCTCCCCGGGCAGGGCAGCTCTCGGAGGAGGCTGCAACTGGAGTAAAAGGCCTCATCTCCCTCTCAGAGCGGCTCGTGGTTTTGAAACGCTGACCTTGCCCTTAGCAGCCCGACGTGGAGCCCCCACGCGGCTGGGGAAGCACTGCCCGAGCGACAGGAAAGAGGAACACAAATCCTCCACAGACCAAGTCGCCTGATAGGGAAAACCTTTCCTTTCTCACCGGTCCACGCCCAGGGAGAACAAACAGAGGAACCTGCATGGTGAGATATTTTCTAGGATTAAGTGGATCTGGGAAGCAGAGCCAGCCCCAAGCTAAGCACAACCAGCTTCTCTGTGTGAAAAACAAAACACTGCACTTGCACACACAATCTCTCTCTCTCTGGCCAATCTCTCTCTCACACACACACACACACAATCTCTCTCTGGCCAATGAACATTTTCTATCTCTCTCTCACACACACACAATCTCTCTCTCTCTGGCCAATCTCTCTCTCTCTC